ACCAAGTCAAACATGGATCTCTGTGACCAAAACAGGTAGCTATAGTCATAATATAGAAACATATATTTTTTTTTAAAATCTTAATTTACACGAATCACAAAACTAAATGATCATGATGTGCAAGTTAAGAAATAAGTGAAAGGATTTTTTAAAAGAAATTAAGAAATAGAGAAAAGAGGGAAACTAAATATTCAATATTTTGTTAATTATAATATACATGTAGTTATAATTAACAATATATTGAAAAGTTTATACTGCTATGATTATACTATGGTTATATTATAATAATAACAATATAACTTTTCAAATTCAATTAACTAAAAATAATTATCTGACTTTCCCTTCAATGCTTAATTTTCATTATTCTGTGAACTAACTGATTAATAAACATAATGAGAAGTTTTCTATTTACTGAGACAATCTTTGTCTCAAAGTAAATAGATTGTCGGATTATATGTTGTGTCGGATTACATGTAGTTTTCAGAACATTGGAAATATAAAAGTGGGAATGAAAATAATTGACAGTGAAACAAACAGAACAGGTGTGAGTTTAGTAGACAGTGTCTACCATTAAACAACAGTTACTAGTATTTTTTTCTGAAAACTGTTTTTTTTAATTTGTGTGTAGTTTTAAGCCAGTCTAAATAATTGTATAAATGGTTTGTGTTATACGCTGTACATGTAAATTATACTTTTATACAAGAATTGCCAACTGTAACACATGACTCTACTTAAACATTTAAAATTGTACGAGTATGTATTTTGTTAATTTTTTTTACAGCAAGAGTTGTGAAACGTATTGAGGCTTATTAAAAAAATATGAAAACTAGGTCTTTAGCTCATAAAAATTCTCAACAGGAAACTCTTAAGGGCGATTGAAAATAGGTCAGACTAAACGGAATTATACATTCTTCCTTGTAAACGTGCAAAAAGGCAGGGCTAATGAGTAAAAGAACTTAAGTAAGGGCATATGTTATCTTAATGGTAAAGAAAAAATGGGAAATAATTAACCTTATTTGCAAAATTAGCCATCCTTTCGTGTGGTAAAGGTAGGATTACGAGTTATTTTGATTTCTACTAACTAGTTTAAAAATCAATTTACGCGTTGCAATGTTTAAATATTGAACAAAAATTATTTACCTTTAACAGAACATTTAAAGATTTGAAACACATAAAGATTTACATTCCTTTTCAGATAAACTAAATCACTCTTAATATGGCTCAAACAGAAAGAATGTTATGTTTTAAGGAACGTTTTGTTTTTCACCACTTTCCATTCTGTAGATAGGGGAGGAATGTTTTATCGGTTTTTTTTTTTTATCTTTTACGTCAAATTCTATTCAAATGTTTAGGGAAACAATCAACTTATCAAATATATATTTGAAATATTTCCTTTTTCCAGTTCTTTTAAAATGTTAATAAATCGAATTTATATGCAATTCGACAAAAAAACAACATATTCCTGAATGCTAATTTACTTTTAAAAATGAAATTTTCATTTTTGATTTGTTTTTATGAATTAAATATTTCCAAATTTGACATCTGTCTGAAAAATAAGGATCATTATCTGTTCCTGATTTCCGAAGAGCACAATGAAAATCTATAAGAATAATTTAATTATTTTTAGATCAAATATTACATGGGGCATAAAGGATCACTTCTTTATAAATAGGTATCTGACCTATAGGACCGGGCTTGGTTTTTTTCTCTATGAAAAGCTTGTCGATTTCCGTTCCGATTAATGACATTAGGCTGAATACATTTAACAATTTGTTTTTTCCTAAACTTTATTTCAAAGAGTAGAGGTAGAAAAAAACCCTTCCATTTATTTTCTGAGTTTGTTATCTCCAAATGTAATAATTGATATTTGTATATACTTCTCATTGTGCATAATAGTAATGTCTACTGTCTCTGAAATTCTATTTTTTGTGTCTAGGCTATTTATCCGTGGATATAATAAAACATGTTATTAATTTGTGCAAATTATATAGGCCTAAATGAAATCCAAGGGAGTACAGTTACTGATATATGTAGCCAAAATCAATGTGATAAAATTCTAAGGAATATATACAATTGAAATTCGTTGCAGCTCAATGCTGCCAAGAGTACCTGTATCAAATAACACAGAGTGAGCTATTCTTGTCCTCGAAGAAAGTGTGAGGTTTGTTCCGCCTGACTGACAACTATACATTTGATTGTTACAATTTGACATCTCTTTAGTTTTTCTTGTTTCAAGAATGGGCATAGTACATAGGGGATAGATAATTAAAAAAAAATACACAAGTCTATAAAAAAAAATAAAATAGCCTTTGAAAAGATGAAAAACTTTAAAAGTGTGGTTCCAGGTGGATTCGAACTCGCGTTTTTAAAGAAGAAACATTGCACGACGTAAAACAAACTCATATATCAACTGAGCTAGTCTATCTATAAAAATAGCTCGTATAGATTTGAAGCAGATTTTCGAAATCAGGTTTCCTTATTTTTTGTAGATTTTTTTTGTGAATTTCGACCCTAGGGCAGGGGTGCCCCTAAAAAATTCCTATCTTTAATCATTCCTGACACCATAACCTATCAAAATATCACAATTTTATTTAGGGGCAGGCCTGCCCTGAAGGACTTCTCGGCCAAAATTCATGCAAAAATAAATGCGTTAGCGGTCAAAATGATGTTTCAGCCAACTTTGGAGGTTTATTGTAAAGTTGTAAATAATAAATTTAAGGTATAAAATACAAATTTGAAAAATTTAGACATATATACGGTAGAAAACAACAAATGAAGTTTAATATTTAAATGTCGCTTTTTCCGGGAAATTGTTCTCTCCTATAGGTCAATTCTTTTGTCAAAGCGAATACATCCTTTCAAAATTTATCCTATACCAGCCACGCTGTAGAATTTTTATGCATATTACCAGGGAAATTCTACAAGTTCTAAGAATGTAGAATGTACAGAATGTCTGTAGAATGTCTGGAATATCCAGACAAATCGTCATTATTATGCTGACAAAAGAATGACATCATTTACAATTCCTTGTTTTGAAAGGGCTGCACATGTACGGTCGACTTTTGTAGCAGAAACATACCTCGTTATGGGCGCATAAAAGTTTTATAATTTATAATTTTTGAAATTCTTCACGTGGGCGTCTAAAAATGTTTCAATCCTTATGTGAATTTGGCATCGAATTTCCTTTGTTCAAACAGGTTATCGAGGTGAAGGAGGTTGTCATTCTCACAATAGGAATTTTGGCAGTGAAAGTTATGATATATCCATGCATTTTATAGTTATAACTTTTTAAAAACGTATACATGCACAGTTTATTATTTTATTTTTTTTTTTTGCATTTTCAGATGCTTTCTCAGTTCAAAATACAGGTACCAGGAACAACTAAACATTTTCTAGAATGTCAATCTGAAGAATTAATGCAAAAGTAATTGTGAATATTACTGTTACTGTAACACTTGTCATCTACAGTTATGTAAGCAATACAGAAATCTTCATCTAATGGTTCAAGAAAATAAGAACCACACAGTTGTCCTTTATCAAGAACGCACGCGTCGGCGTTCTTCCCAAAAGGAATTTGCACAGATATCCTCTGTCACATTCTGGTGTTTGACTATTACTGTGATTCTGTTCACCTCATTGATCAGGACGGTCAATTTTTGACTTTGCTTATCACGAGACGCGATGATATGAAGTCCCCGTGCAGTTTGTGTGTGGATGATGAAAATAACCTTTATGTTGGAAAGCTCACTAAAGGCATAACAGTGTACAAGTATCTCCAGTAATCAGTGAGGCAATGATAGTGTATATTTCTTACAATGCACGGTACTGTTTGAAGTACCTCATCAACATGTTTGGCGCTAACGATCAAATACGCAATTTTTGTGTTTTGTTTTCAATTCCAAAGTCGAAACGAAGTTTAAATTTTAAAGTTGTTTAAGTTAGCCATGTGTACCTAAAGTTTCAAGAACTTTCAAATCTAATTAAAATTAGATATTCATCTTGAGATTTATTATTTCGTCACATGGGTACAAACGATCATCGTGAAAAAGTTAAATTAGATTGAAGCCTAGCATTCTATAAACTAACAAGTAATTATGTAGAACGATTCCAGAGAAAGACGTTCATCTGTGTTCTATGCTTTCAAGGCAAATATATAATGAAGATGCTCGTACCTCCAAGATTTCAAGTTGGTTGTAAAAATTCTTAGTACATTTTAATTGTCAAGAATCATGATGCTTTTTCCCTCCTATTATTTTTTTTTCCCTTATTGTGTTTCTCATCGAGCCAACAAGAACGATGTGGGACGAGTTAAATTGTATTCATGTTAAAAAAGTGTTATCTTTTACGTGCTTTATTTGCTCTTAGTGCTTTATGTGAAATCAAAACAAGGATTCAGGAAAAAATGTCCAAATTTGAATGGATTCTGATCAAACAAACCTACTACCAATTAACATGAATCAGAACAGCTCCCTTGCATCTTGATGTACGTATATTAAAAAATGTTCATCAAATAATTAGAATTTTGTCCATGCTAATCGATTGCAAAAAGACCATTTTGAAATACAAAACTTTAATTCTAAGAAAGTGTATTTTTATGACTTAATAAACAAATGGAAATCAGAAAAAAAAACTGGACAAGCAGTAACCTCTTAAAAATATTTACAGAGGGCACAACAGATTTTAATCGATTGATTGATTGTATGTTGTTTAACGTCCCTCTCGAGAATTTTTCACTCATACGGAGACGCCACCACTTGCCGGTGGAGGGCTACAAATTTTGTCCTATGTTCGACACTCAGGGCCTTTGAGCAGTGAGGGATCTTTATCGTGCCAGCACCTACTGCGACACGGGGCCTCGGTTTATACGGTCTCATCCGAAGGACCGATTTTAATCGATAAACATATTTTGGTCAGAAGAAAATTCAACCACTTATGCTTGATCACCACAATGTAAATAAAGCAAGAAGCCTTGATTTGTTTTTTTGAAGACACATTTCTTCAATTAGAAAAAAAATCTAAAAACATTTTATACTGAAATACCAAGTGTTGCATAATGTTCGAAATAAAAAAGGTACAGCGCATGGTCGATGAAAAGAAGCAGAACATTAAAATGCAAGGAATAGTCTCAATTTTCGTTTGGTAAACATTAATGTGAAATATGATCTCATGTCATTTCTCAGATCACGACATTAATGATCACGAAACATATTGAAAGTTTTTGTAAAATTTGGGAAAACTAAGAATTCTGTGCATTTGTTCTAAGTTCAACAACCTGATCAACATGCTGAAAACGTTGTCGTTTTTCCTTGTTTTTGTCTGTGTTGTTAGTGGAAATGAGTCATGTGGCCGGAAAGAGATGGAGGACACAATATGCAGTCTCTGTGGACAGAGGGGTGGAAGTCCATTTACTGGATATGGTACTTATACATGTACTTTAATGTCTTCAAAATTTTGATTACATAACATCTTAAAAATTTATTTGTAAAATAAGTATGCTGCCCAGCTGTTTTCAATGTCTTATTTATTATTTCTTTTTGAAGACTGTAAATTAATTTTTGTTGTTTTTTTTTCTTCTTCAGGTAAACAGATTGCGTTTTATGCATATATGTCAGGTAACGTTTACATCAGTACACTATCCAAACACAAAATATTTGTTTATGATCGAGTCGAAACAAATATTGGAAACGGATATGACGTCAAATCTGGAAAATTTACCGCTCCAGAAAGTGGGGTTTATGTCATACACACAACGACGGTTGCCTACGACAGATCTTACAGCATTATCGAAGTCGTGAAAAATGGCGTCATAAAGGACATAGGATTGGCAGACGCCTACCACCACGATGACAGAGCCGCCTCCTCTACCTTAACCATTTTGAATTTGAAGAAGGGAGACGTTGTAAATACCCGAGTTGGTACATACTTTCGTGGGAATTATCTAGAGAGTATTACTTGGGCCCGAATGAGTTTTTCTGGATTTAAACTCATGTAAAGAAAAAAGTCTATATATAAACTCGTGTATTTATCAGTCTGAGGCAATACTTCATGGCTTGTAACAAATAAATAGAATGAGCATGACAACTAATTAAGCTTTTTTGTAATGCACCTTGAAGACTTTTTTCATTTCCTTATTTCTACAATATATGTTTCGATTTTTTTGCTTATCATGCAGTTCACACAATCTAATTAAAATTAGATGTTAGATCCACTCGCATTCTCACTACACAGTGTAGCGAGTATGCCAGCGGATCTAATATCCAATTTTAATTAGATTGTCACTTCACAATGCAATTAACTTTACCAAAAGCAAAATTATCAATGTGAAGTACCATCTTCCAACTGGTCACCTCTTTCTAAACAAATAGCTATATCTATACTTATGAATTAACAAATTCTGCCAATAAACTCCACTAAGGTATTAGGTGATGTCCGTAAATTATTTGCAGAATTCACTCGCATAGTAATTAACAAATTCTTTCTTGACCTTGAAGAAATGATATAATTATGCATGTACATTTGTGGTATCTCTCTATTACATACAGAGAGCAAATACAGCTATCCTCATATCTGTATGAAGTTATCCACTTGTCAATGAACAATACATTGAGAATATTAGAATACACGCTTCAATCCTCATCAAATATCCTCCATATCGCACAGTGCAGAATCGGTGTATTTACTACTACTAATAGTGGAGTGACAAAATTTTGAATTTAATGTACCACCCCACCCTACGGCTGATTTGTACTTTTTTGCAAAGAGGTAGGGGCTCCATTGGCGAAAATCGGCCCCAGCTCAAAAATAAATTTTATTTTTTTGATTATATGTTGTGGATGTCTATTTTTTAAAAATAACACCAATTTGTCCGAAAAACTTAATTTAAGGAAAAAATTAAGGCATTGATTGACCACCGTTAATAGTTAACGTTAACGTTAAAAAGTAGCGTCATTACGTAATACACACACAGTTACTCAATACCCTCCTCAGAGTTCACTGAATTAACCATACTCGCTAATATTGAAAAGAACAACAAATCTTTTTTGATAGGTTCCAACCGCTAAATTTCTTTATCAGGGTATAATGATGATAATCTGATGGTTGTCATAGCAACAAACTTTCTTCATAAATATGTCTCTGACTACATTAATAACAGAAAGGAAATATCTCAAAAACTGGACAATTTTAGCCATTTCAAAACGTTGATATGTTTTGTTGCAAAATAGAGGTCATAGTAAATTAATATGAAGACTTCTGTTCATTAGGCCTATATAATTCCTCTTAATAAAACAATTTTTCTAAATGAGAAGGGGGGGGGGTATATAATATCGTCCATGAAATATGACTTTTGAGCCTCATTTAGGATTTTCAAGTACTTGTTAATATGGATATTAAAAGATGTACATGCCATGTAATGATTTCTTTACAATAGAGTTTTAGGGGATATTGTAAGGCAATTGTGTGTGTTTGTATGAGGGCTAATGAGCGAGTTAATTCTGTGCAAAACGGAGGTGACGTAATTTGCATCGGGATCGATGTCCAATACTGCTTAAGCTTGAGGTAGGATTTCATTTGTCATACCGGCGTACGCCGAATGCGCCGCTTGACCTTTCGAAATCCGGCTTTTTACTTCATTTGATCGGGGAAGGCTCGCCGGCGTACGCCGAATGCGCCGGTCTGAAATTATCGGCGAGGAAATCGCCGGTCTTAGAAATATGGCGGGAAGAGAAAACAACTGTGAAAATGCAGATACTTTTTACCATATCGACATGTTCTTTATTTGTTTGCATATTTTAGCAAATCTCCATTCAAATATTTAAATATGTTTTTATTCTCTGAAAAATAAAATTTTTCATGAGGTCCAAGGGTCTTTTTGAAATTGAATTTCGAATTATTCTACTAAGACACAATGTAAAAAGTGATAAAACTTAATTACTTGATTATCATTTAGCGTAATTATTTATTTTTAAAAAAATGTTTTTGCCGGTTTACTTCATTTGCCTCTTAGCCGTCTAACGCCGGTCATATGACCGGCGTTATTCGGCGTACGCCGATCAGTGACAAATGAAATTGGCCCTTTATGATTGCAAGGGGATGCTCAGCCTTAATTCTATCGTCCTTGTTATTCTTTAGATTTACATAATATTATTGTGTGGACATTACTGAACCTTTTTCATTTCATATTCCGAAAAAAATATATTAAAATCAAGCACTTAAGAAATGGAATTGGTGATATTTTTAAAATATTTTATTTATGATTTTATACATGTTATCATTTAAAAAAATATTTTACTGAACTACTAAAAAAATTAACGTCTCTAATACAACTACAAATGGATCGGCCGCTCCTGCGGCCGAAAATAATGCTATTAAGTGGACCCCTCGAAATCAAATTGCTTTAAATATAGTGATTTTTTTAATTATTTCTTTAAATAAACATTTAACTAAAACATTTTTTTAAGTGATCAAGACAAACCCCTTCCTGTTCAGAACTTTTCAATATAGGTACGTCGTGGGATTAAATTAACTGCATGACGCTGAGACTGTTCGGATGAGATCGTATAAATCGGCGTCCACTGTTGTTTGTCACGAAAAAGATCCCTCACTGTTCAGTGGATCCGAGTATTGAGTACGGGTATAAATAAGCAGGTGCAGAAATCCAGATATCTAGAAATCTCTTCCGGGGGGGGGGGGGGTTGGGGGGTTGGGGGTGAGGGAGGGGGGTGTCCACCCCAATAAAGAAAAATTGTCGACCCAGAAATATTCTAAAACAAATTAAACAACAACTAAACGCATTTCCCAAACATGAAAAACCTATTTCTTGCGGGGGGGGGGGGGGGGGGGGGGATAAAACCTCGTGCCATTTGTCGCCCGCGTGGCACAGTGGTTATATAACGTCTGCTCTAGAGTCTTTATTCTTTATTATTATCACTTTAAGCTTTACAGCTTATCAGTATATATACAGAATAATCAGTTTCATTACAGTACAGAAGTGGATATTTTACAGGAGAACAATTATAAATGTGTACGTATATACGTGTAAATGATAGTATTAAAGACAAACAAACAAACAAACAAAAAATAATAGAAAAGATATAATTATCGGATTACCAGATCATCTCTACGCCTCAAGCTATAATAAATATATTTACCAAGGTTACAGATATCCTTATATTTCTCAGTATTAAACAATTGCAATAATTTGAACATGAAGTAAAGAGATCTTTACATCACGGGTTCGAATCCCACTGTGGGACGTGGAATCCGGTCTTCGTATAAAACGAGTTCCCGTGTGGCAGTAGGTGCTGGCACGAAAAGGATCCCTTCAAAGATCAATGACCCTGAGTGCCGAGTGTAAGACGAAATTTGTAGCTGTCCAACAAGTGGTGGCGTCTCCATATAAGTGAAAATTCTCGAAATGTACATGTACGTTAAACAACATTCAATCAACAATCGCTTATACACCATTCAATGATTGACTTTTCATAGTCATTTCACATAATGTTATCTGTTTTCGAGGAAGGTTCCGCGTTTTCCAAAGGTGGGAGGGGGGAGGGGAGGTGTCCAAGGTCTCTTTCCATGAGTGAAAGATTCTAGAGGGGGTCAAAAACAACAATTAATCCCCCCTTACGAGTTGAAACAACTTAGCTTCAGCATATGACATTAATAGCTATCTGCTTTACACAAAGTTTTTCCTCCTTGGAAAAAGAATGTCTGATTTTTTTTAAATACAACTTTCCATTTATTCATATGTAATGTGCAAGTGAGTTGAAATTTCACTGTTATCTTTCATTTTAAGTACAAACTATTTCCAAATGGTTAATATAATTATTATCTCATTTTTTTTCAGCCCCTTGTTTTTTTTATCCCAATATTTTCATTGTTTAATTAGAATTTATGATATGCTTTGATATAGTTACCAAACCCCTTGTTTTTTTCCTAACATTTTCATTTTTTAAGTAGAATGTATGCTTTGGTATATACTGATCAGACCCCAGCCCTTTTCCAAAGAAAACCTTACACACAGGGACTTGCTCCTGGCGCGTAAAAAATATTTATAATAAAAAAAACAAACGGTATACTATGAAGTTTTATAGTATACCGTTTATTTATTTTGTTTTTAATTTACACGCCAGGAGCAAGTCCCTGTGCCTTACATGCATGATACGTTGATAAGTCTGTGTGACTAGTTTCGACATGTACAATCAATATGTACTAAATGTACATGTATGTATAAGCAAAAATCTATGTATATGAGTTAATATAAAAGTTGAAATTATATATATGTAGTATTTTTTAGTCTATCTATTACGGTAACGAGAGAGGATCGGTATGATTTTTTATCGTTGTTTGCTGCTAAAAGAAAGTTGACTATCTTCAACTGTATCATCGTCGGAACCCACGGGTTTTCTCTCCGTTACACTGCAGTAACTTCCTCTGTGTATGGTCGATCTTTTGTAATAATTTCTTACCACCCGAATATTATTTGGATTTTATTTTTGGCATCCAATTTACTTCTGCTCAGATTACTTTTTTTATAAACAGAAAAGAACATGCTGAATTCCTCTCTCTTTTTTTTTTAATTGTCTTCAATTGTTGCGCAGTTTACTTCAGTTTTATATTATGAAAGACTAATTACACGCAGAATTGTAATGTGGTGTGTGGATCAAATATTTACATGTACATTCATTTTATTTCGAATCATCTTTTTCATTTTAACTGTGAATGTTATATATTAATTATTAAATGCAGAATTCAGTATTCAATATATGAAAGCCAGTTGTCTCGGTTAAAAAAAAATCAGATGCATATAATAGAACAAGATATCTTCGACAAATCGGCACATTGGAAAGAGGTGTGTGTGTGTGTGTGGAGGGAAGGGGGGGGGGGGGGTATTTACCTCACTGATACCCTGTTTTGACTTTGGAATAGTTTTCATTTTGTTTTATCAGGTCATTACTTACATACCCTTTAAGTTGCATTTAAAGAAACCAGTATTAATTTATTACTCGTATAGAACATTGTATAAAAAAATTAAAAATATAATGTGTGTGCAGAATGGGCAATTAATTCAGCTGCAGTCTTGTA